CTTCCTAAGTAAGTTTTATTCAGTAAAAAGTATCTTGTTAAAAAGAAAGTATCGTGTTTTTTCAAAAAAAAATTAAAAATTAACATCTCCAAAAGAAGTCCTGAAGAGACAGCTTAATGGCCATGCTTTGCCTACAAGGAGGCTTGGGTTCAATCCCCAGCATCTCATGCTCCTCCTGAGAACTGACAGGAGTGAACTCCCAAAGACCAAGCTGGGGGGCCAGAGTGATGTGTAAGGCCTTTACCTCGCACATGGCCAACCCGGGGTGGATCCCCAGGATTCCATATGGTTCCCTGAGTGCTGCCAGGAATAATTCCTGAGTGGAGAGCCTGGAGCAACCCCTGAAAGAAAAAAAATAAAGACTAAGCTGCCAAGCTCGGGGAGGCTCCTGAGCAATGTCAATGTGGCCCCAAACAAGCAAACCAAAAATTTTTAATAAATAAAAGATCCAAAAGAGATCTGGTTAATCCACTATACTCAGAAGTCACTCTTATCATCACTGTAAGTGAGAAAACCCAGCATTATGTGCTTCCCAATGCGATGCAATGCAAAGGATATAGCATCACCTGAAGGTCATTCTTTTCTTATTTTCTCTTCTTCTTCTTCTTCTTCTTCTTCTTCTTCTTCTTCTTCTTCTTCTTCTTCTTCTTCCTTCTTCTTCTTTTTCTTCTTCTTCTTCTTCTTCTTCTTCTTCTTCTTCTTCTTCTTCTTCTTCTTCCTTCTTCCTTCTTCTTCTTTTTCTTCTTCTTCTTCTTCTTCTTCTTCTTCTTCTTCTTCTTCTTCTTCTTCTTCTTCTTCTTCTTCTTCTTCTCCTTCTCCTTCTCCTCCTTCTCCTTCTCCTTCTCCTTCTCCTTCTTCTTCCTTCTTCCTTCTTCCTTCTTCTTTTTGTTAGCTTTTGTTTCGGGGCCACACTTGGCAGTGCTCAGGGTTTTCTCCTTGTTCTACCCTCTAAGATAATTCCTGATAGGGCTGGGGGGCTGCAGTGGATGGCGGGGGAACCCTAAGTAGCACTGGAGATCAAAGTTGGGTCAGCTGCATGCAAGACAAACACTCTACCCTCTGTATATCAAGGCTCTGAGGAACATTTTTTTTTTTTTTTTGCTTTTTGGGTCACACTCGGCGATGCTCAGGGGTTACTCCTGGCTGTGCACTCAGGAATTACTCCTGGCAGTGCTTGGGGGACCATATGGGATGTTGGGAATCGAATCCGGGTTGGCCGCGTGCAAGGCAAACGCCCTACCCGCTATGCTATTGTTCCATGCCCCTGAGGAACATCCTTATAAAAAAAAATATTCAATTTCATATATAACATCCCACTGAAAAAAAGCACAGGGAATTGAGGAACAGAACGAGTAAATTCTGAGAAAGCAATGAAATGCAATTGGCAGGTGAGAAGTTGTGCGGAATTCGTCCAGGCACTTCTGGCAGTGGGGGGGGGGGGGCGAACATATGGGATGCCATGTTCAAGGCAAATGCCCAACACTACGTACTATTGCCCTGGGCCCAGATGTCAGGTTTAAAGGGACAATGGGTCAGTGAGGTGACTCAAAGGGCAAGAGAACATGCAGGGTGCCCAGGTTTTTACATGATCCCCTGAGCATTGCCATGGGCATTCCCAAGCACTGAGCTGGGTGTAGCCCCTGAGTACTGCTGGATGTTCCCCTACTAAAATAAATAAGCAAACAAATAAATAAATAGAGGTACATAGAGAAATTCTACAAAAAAAATTAAAAATCAGGAAATAACTGTATCAACTGAAACCCTTAATTGACCCCAGAATTAGCAGACTCAACAGAGAGAAATGTACTAGTGAATAAATTTGAATATGACTGGGCCCACTCGAGAAAATCCATGAACAATGGGAGGACAGTGACAGTGACAGATGAATTAAATATTAGACATTATTGTCATTTTTGTTATTTGTGGTTGTACAGCCTGGCAAGCAGCCCGTGACGTATTCGATATGCCAAACACAGTAACAACAAAGTCTCCAATGGAGACATTACTGGGCCCGCTCGAGCAAATCGATGAACAACGGGAGGACCGTGACCGTGACCGTGGTTGTACACAAAAATGTCACTTGAGTGTCAGAGACTTTTTTTTTTCTTTTTGGGTCACACCCGGCAATGCACAGGCGTTACTCCTGGCTCTTCACTCAGGAATTACTCCTGGTGGTGCTCAGGGGACCACATGGGATGCTGGGAATCGAACCCGCAAGGAAAACGCCCTACCCACTGAGCTATTGCTCCAGCCCCTATTTATTTATTTTTAATCACTGTGAGGTATACTCTTACAAAGCTGTTCATGATTAGGTTTCAGTCATACAGTGTTCCAACACCCATCCCTCCACCAGTGTACAGTTCCCAGGATCAGTGAGAGACTGTTTAATAGGCTGAGCAAATGTGGGAGACCCTGGTTCAATCCCTAGCCCCGCATAGCATCCTGAGCACAGAAAAAGGAACCAGGAATAGCCCCTAAACCACAGCCAGTATGACCCCAAAACAAAAACTAATCACAGCATTTTGAGATGCATATTGGAAAGATAGTAAGTACTAAATATATATAATCATATTAAACATATGTAAATAAAAATTATGTAATTTACTTTAAAGCTTTTAAGAGAAAGCAACAGATTGATCAAATATCTCAAGACATCACCAATTGTGAATAGGGTGGGTGGGTGAACAGGCAATAGGTTGCCTTCCCTATTTTTCCCTATGTAAATTTCTTTGTTTTCAGTTCAATTTAAATGGAGGGAGGAGATGAACAAACACTTCCTCAAAGAAGACAAATGCTGGGAGGTTCCTCCCAGGATGGGAGATGCGTGATGAGAGTAGACTATAGACAGAACATGATTGCCACTCAATGTCTCTTTTGCAAACCGCAGCACTCAAAAGGAGAGAGAGAACTCAAAAGGGAATGCCCTGCCACAGAGATAGGGTGGGATGGGGGGGATGGGGGGTGGGAGGGATACTGGGATCAGTGTGGTGGAGAATGGGCACTGGTGGAGGGATGGGTACTCGATCGTTGTATAACTGAAACCCAAGCACAAAAATTTGTAAGTCTACAACTGTACTTCAAAGTGTTTCGCTAATTAAAAAAATGATTAAAAAAATAAGACAAATGGATGGCCAAAGGGCATATGAAAAAGTTCTTATCATCACCCTTGATTAGGGAAATGCAAATCAAAACAACAATGTGAGGGGTGGAGCAATAGCACAGCAAGTAGGAGGAGTGGGACATTTGCCTTACACGAGGCCGACCCGGGTTCAATTCTCAGCATCCCATATGGTCCCCTGAGCTCTGCCAGGAGTAAAAAAGTGATATCTTCTTATACAAGTGAGTATGGTACATATTAAAAAGTTTAGAAATTGAGCCCAGAGCAAATAGTTCGGCAGGGAGAACACTTGGTTGACTCAGATTCAATTCCCAACACCCCATATGATCCCCCCCCAAGCTTGCCAGGAGTGATCCCTGAGTGAAGAACCAGAAGTAAGCCCTGAGTATCGCTGTGGCCCAGAAACAAGCAAAGTCTGGGAACAGTCAGTGTTGGCAGGTGTTGTGGTGAAAAAGGAACCCTCACCCACTGTTGTTGGGAATTTTTTCTGGCTAGCCTTTAAGGAAAGCAATAGTGGGAAATATGCACTGGTGAAGGGATGGGTGTTGGAACATTATATGACTGAATTCCAGTCATGAACAGCTGTGTATCTCACTGTTTTGTGATTCGATTAAAAAATTAAATTAAAGTAAAGCAAAGACCCTCCCGTTGATCATCGATTTGATTGAGCGGGCCCAGTAACATCTCCATCAGAGACTTTGTTGTTACTGTGTCTGGCATATCGAATACTCTCGGTAGCTTGCCGGGCTCTCCGAGAGGGGCGGGGGAATTGAACTCGGGTCGGCCATGTTGGCTGCGTGCAAGGCAGACGCCCTACCCGTTGTGCTATCGCTCAAGCTACTGAGAGTATCTCACCCGCACGGCAAAGCCTGGCAAGCTCCCCGAGACGTATTCGATATGCCAAACACAGTAACAACAAAGTCTCCAATGGAGACGTTACTGGGCCCGCGCGAACAAATCGACGATCAACGGGAGGGCCTTTAAATTAAAATTTTTTAAAAAATTTATTTGTTCTTTTTTGGGTCAACCCCAGCAATGCACAGGGGTTACTCCTGGCTTATGCACTCAGGAATTACTCCCAGCGGTGCTCAGGGAAAGCATACGGGATGCTGGAAATCGAACCCAGGTCGACCGCGTGCAAGGTAAATGCCCTACCCACTGTGCTATCACTCCAGCCCCCAACTTTTTTTTTTAATTTTAAAAGGGAAGCAATAGAAGCCGTTTCTTGGCTTCTATACCCCAAACACAAAAACATTAATTTGAAAGGTACATGCACACCCAAGTTTATCACCATCCTGAGTACAACAGCCAAGACATGAAAACAACCCAAATACCCATCTACAGATGAATGGATCAGGAAGTTGTGGTGTACCGCATAGTATATACAGTGGAATACTTGTAGCTCTAAGAACAAATCATGCAATTTGCAGCAATATGGATGAAACTAGATGATTCATGCTGAGTGAAGTCAGTCAGAAGGAAAGGGACAGAGACAGAATGATCTCTCTCATAAGCGGGACTTAGGAATGAGGAGCCAACAGTGGAGCTGAGCTACTTCACAGAGTCAAAAGGACGTGAGAAAGGGTAGTGGTAGCGAGAGAGGTCATGAATACTCCATCCTGCATGACAGAGTATAAGAGAAGTTTCCAGACTTTGTGCTTGAGTCCAGAGATAACTCTGTGACACATCCATAGACCCAGCAAGCAGGGGGCTCACCTGAAGACCAAGTTGTAGCCCAGTGGGTACCGCCTCTGCCACTTACCATTTATGAGCCTTCTCTAAGCCTACTTCTCATCTAGTCAGCGGAGCTTAAATAGAGGAAGTACCTCGAAGGAACACAAGATCCCTGAAAGTCTGTGCTAGGGGGATGGACAATGGATACCTGAGTTTTCCCGGCCCAGGAACGCCTGAGTGAAAATCTCTGCAACCCAGGCCTGCAGTTCGGAATCTTGCTGTACAGATGCATCATTTGGATAATAGTAGCCCACAATTTCTGAGACAAAACTGCAGGAAAGAAATACCATGTCATGGAAGGAACTGTGGGCTCAGAACTAGCCAGAAAACCAAGGCACCATGCCCCTTGAGGTGGGAGACAGCCAGAAAACCAGAATCCACTGAAGGTCCATGGAGGTTCAGTGGAGCCAGTCTCTGTGAGTGACACACACTCTTCAGGGGAAGCGATGCTCTGGGCCTTCTTTCTGTACAGGGGTAGCAAGAAGGAACTGACTCTTGCTATACCATTCCACCCCACCCCTTTTGGCTTCCTGAAGAAAAGACTCCTCTGGACAACCTGTCCTCCTCGCCCTTAGCCTCTGTATTCACTCACACACCAGAGCTTTCCCCGTAGGGACCCCAACTGTCACCCTTAGAACCCCATGCTGGTGCCTGAAAACACTGAACCCCCCAGCACCGAGCCCCCAGGCTGCAGGCGCACGGGAGCACAGTGCCCCTAGGCCAGGAGTGGCCCAGATTTGCTGTAGGTTTGCAGAACTTAACCTCTCAATAGCGGCCCAGATCTTCAGGCCGTCATCTCTGTAGTAGAAGCTGGGGATACTCAGGACGCCACGGGCCCGCAGGCTGTCCGGAAGGCAGAAATCTGTGTAGGTGAAGTGGGCCAGACCGGTGCTCATGAGGTAGAGGAGGCCTTGCCGACCGATGGATGTGACCTGGGAACAGCACAGCTCAGATCCTGTGGCTGGTGCTTAAGACTCAGCAGAAGGGATTTTTCTGGTGGCCAAGCAGTCCAGGAGGGGGTTACCAAACTGCCACTGGGGCCCAGTATGGGACACTGCTCTACTACTTCTTACAGAGTTTGTGATACTTAGGTTTGGGATAGCTGAGGAGACTGAAGAGCTGAAAGCCTGGAGGCAGGGAGGTGTGAAATGTCCCACAGCGGTCAGGTGGGAGGGCCCAACCACCCACAGCTCCAGGACCCCCACAAAGTGCGCCTGGGCAGATGGGTCCTTGGGTGGGATTAGTAGGAGGCTCAGGGGTTTCTGAGCGGGACTCGCGGGAAAAGGGGAGAGCGGGGTGGACCGGGCTTCTAGCAGGGATGGGAGGGAAGGCCTCGGAACAGGGAGGCCGCACCTGGTCCACAAGGCCCTCGGGGTTGAGCAGCGTGGCCCGAGCGATGGTGTTCACCTGCAGCGTGTAGCGCGTGTGCGGAAGCAGGAGCTGCAGGCGGAAGGAGGGCGGGTGCCGGCGGTCAGGACAGGAGGCCGCTCAGGGCCGCTCCCGCAGGGCCCACTCAGGGGTCAAACACACCTTGTAGATGGGGTGGCAGAGCGGCAGCTGCCGCAGCGTGGCCATGGCGAAGGCTTCGCACAGCAAGTGGGTGCACAGAAAGTGCGTGTTGTTCTCGTGCACCAGGAACTCGGAGTTTCGCACCCACGTCTTGGCCAGCAGCCAGTCCCACTCGGCGTCGGTGGGCAGAAAGATGGGGCAATCGGGCCCGGGGGTCTGACCGAGCTGCGTCTCAGGGCAATGAGATGAAGCTCAAGACCACCACCAGCGAGCAGTGGCCCCTGAGACTCCCCCCACCGCCCCCCGCCCCCCCCACACACACATCCTCCCGGAGGCCCCAGCCCCAATTCACCTGGATCGCCAAGGGCAGCAGCGCCCCCTGGGGGTTGAGCCACAGCAGGCAGAGCGGGGCGGCCACATACTGCTGGCGGCCGTTTAGGCAGTGGACAGGAGCCTCGGCCAGGATCCAGTAGTCAGCCAGGAAGACGTTCCCCCTCTGCGGGTCGCACAGAGGCTCAGAGTGACCTCCCTTTGAGTTCTGCATCCCTCCTAGTCACTGCCACTCCTGCTTGGGCCTCAGTAGTGCTTAGTGCGTCAGTGGCAGACGTTTTGATTCGGGCATCCTGAGCACCTCTGGGAGCAAGCCCCATCACCAAGCAAGGAGATTCCCCCAGCACAACTGGGAATGACCCCAAATGCAAAATAACAACAACAACAACAATGCTTGGTACTTGCAGTAAGCAATATTGGGGGCTCCACCCTTACCAGAAGGCCAACTGAGGTCACATTAGTCAACTTTTTACCTGGCTTCTCTGATTGGAAATCCAGCATCATTACCACATCTCCTAACCATAAGGCCAAATACCCACCTCCCTCCTGTCAGGGCCAATCACAAGAGCCTCACCCACCTCTAGCTCTGTCTGCAGGCAGGTACTCTGTCCCAGCAAAGGGGATACCATGTCATTGGTCACAGGAAACTTGCTGGGTAAGCTGGAAATGCAATGGATCATGACAGGATTGACACCATTCAGGTACTGGTATCCAAAGAAACGGTCCTCACACCAGTGCTCTGTGACATACTCTATGGGCAAGAGAGGGAGCAGATTGGTCTGGAACCTACCTTCCTAAATGATGTTCTGTCTACCCCTTGCCTTATCACTGTGGCTTATGTTTTCCTCCCAGCAATTTCTGAAATATAATTATAGCTTCAATATAACTCTGACTGCTGAGATACAAGTATGGAATGATGCTCAGTTGAAGGGCAAACCAGGGATTTGAACCTATATTCAGCCAAAGCCCAGATCTCATAATGGCCAGAATAGGAGAAAAAAAATGAGTGTCCCTGATCAGGAGGACAACTCCCTAAGTGAGCCTTTACACTCTCCCAAGCAAGCAAAATACCCCTTTGTCTTTAATCCCTGTCCTGGTCCCCCCCCCCCCCCGCCCTCAGAGGAGTGGGGGATGCTGGGAATCTGGGAGCTCACTGGTAGCAATACCAAGGTTGTTCCTAGATTGCTCCCGGAATCTCCTCCCACTGGATTCCAACTGCTTCCTGGAGTGGACCGGAAGAGAGTTCCTTCCAGAATGGAGCAGGGAGAGTCTAAGCACAGACAGGGGCAACTCCTCAACTCCTCCTGATTCTACATACGTAAAGTGAAGGTCTTGTGGCACCAGAAAATATTTCTCAAGTCTTCCAACTTCTTCCAAGAGCCCTTTCGGTCCAGCAGGCCTCGAAGCTTCATGCCTAATGACCTGATCAGAGGGAAAATAGAAGTGGGAACTGATGCCAGGGACACTGTGTCCCTGCTAGAGATCTGAAAAGACCTGACAAATTCAATATTGCCCAGAGCCAAGGTGCCTAACAGTCCACATGGGAGAAAGTCTGGTGGCATCCTGAGATCTTGTAGGGGTGACCCAAAACCCCCTTGGTGCAAGTGACCAGGTGTGCGGATGAGTCCTCACTGGTGTTTTAGCCTGTTATTTCTGCTTCCATCTTGTCATACGTCTTCACTAATACCCCTCTGCCCACAGAACTGGCGACAGCATTTCGACAGCATCCCAGGCTGCTGAAATGACCAGGAAGTTCCCAGAAGTCAATTTCACCAATAGTTTCAGCTTCCTCTCTCAAATCTTGTACTAGATAAGGCCAGCAATGACCGTCTCGCTAACCACAACCAATGTACAAACATATGTACACTGGACTGATAAAAGTGGGGTTGGGTGCCACAGAGTCAGGGTGAGATGGGAGGGATGGGGGTGGGAGGGATATTATCCATGGTGGTGGAAAATGGGCACTGGTGGAGGGATGGGTATTTGATCATTGTATAATTGAAACCCAAGCACAAAAAATTGTAAATCTACAACTGTACCTCATGGTGTTTCACTAAAAATAATAATAATAAAAAGTGGGGTTGGGGACCTTAGGGTAAAGAGTGTATTTTTTGCTTTAGGGATTTCTGAATTGTGTGAAGTTTTTATAACGAGCTTGTATTATTTTATGCTTTTGAAAAATGTCTGGTGGGGCTGGAGCAATAGTACAGCATGTAGGGCGTTTGCCTTGCACACAGCCAACCCAGGTTCGATTCCCAGCATCCCATATGGTCCCCTGAGCACCGCCAGGGGTGATTCCTGAGTGCAGAGCCAGGAGTAACCCCTGTGCATCACCGGGTGTGACCCAAAAAGCAAAAAAAAAAAAAATTTTAAATAATCTTGTGTCCTGTGAAATCCTGTGTCTTCCCGTTGTTCATCAATTTGCTCGAGCGGGCCCAGTAACATCTCCACTGGAGACTTTGTTGTTACTGTGTTTTGGCATATTGAATACATCACGGGTAGCTTGCCAGGCTCTGCCGTGCGGGCGAGATACTCTCGGAAGCTTGCTGGGCTCTCCGAGAGGGGTGGAGGAATCGAACTCGGGTTGGCCATGTTGGCTACGTGCAAGGCAAACGCCCTACCGCTGTACCTTAGAATCAGCTTAAGTAAGGAGGTAAAGGGCCTGTACAAAGAAAACTACAAAATGCTACTTCAAGAAATAAGAGGACACGAAGAAATGGAAACACATCCCCTGCTCATGGACTGAAAGAATTAACATTGTCAAAATGGCAATACCCCCAAAACATTATACAGATTCAATGTGATCCCTATAAGGATACCCATGACATTTTTCAAAGAAATTGATCAAACACTCCTGAAATTCATGTGGAACAATAAGTCCCCACAAATAGCTAAAGCAATTCTTGGGGGGGAAGATAAGAGGCATCACCTTCCCCAACCTCAAACTGTACCTCAAAGCAGTAGTAGTTAAAACAACATGGTATTGGAATAAAGACAGATCCACAGACGAATGGAATAGAGTTGAATATCCTTACAAACACCCTCAAATTATGATCATCTAATTTTTGATAATGGATCAAGAAATATGAAGTGGAGCAAGGAAAACCTCTTTAACAAATGGTGCTGACAAAACTGGACAGCTATGTGCAAAAAAACAAGCTCAGACCTCTACCTAACACCATATACAAAAGCCCAATAAAAAATGGATTAATGACCCTGATATCAGACCAGAATCTGTAATGTACATTGAAAAACAGCTCATCAAAACCCTCCATGATATTGAAGCTAAAGGTATCTTCAAAGATGAAATACCACTGACCAAGCAAAGATAAACAAATGGGACTACATTAAACTAAGAAGCTTCTGCACCTCAAAAGAAACAGTGACCAGGATACAAAGATAGCCGACAGAATGGGAAAGGATATTCACCCAATACCCTCTGATAAGGAATTAATATCAAAGATATACAAGGCATTGGTTGAACTCTACAAGAAAAAAATATCCAATCCCATAAGAAAATGGGCGATGAAATGAACAGAAACTTCCTCAAAGAAGAAATCTGAATGGCCAAAAGACACACAAAAAAATGCTCATTATCACTAATCATCAGGGAGATGCAGATCAAAACAACAATGAGATATCATCTCACACCACAGAGACTGGCACACATCAAAAAGAATAAGAACAGGGGGGTAGGAGGGATACTAGGATCAGTGGTGGTGGAGAATGGGCACTGGTGGAGGGATGGGTATTCGATCATTGTATAACTGAAACGCAAGCACAAAAATCTGTAAGTCTACAACTGTACCTCATGGTGTTTCACTAATAAAAATTAAAAAAAAAAAAAAAGAACAACCAGTGCTGGCGTGGATGTGGGGAGAAAGGGACTCTCCATCATTGTTGGTGGGAATGCCAACTGGTACAGCCTTTTGGGAAAACAATATGGGCATTCCTCAAAAAACTAGAAATTGAGCTTCCATATGATCCAGCAATACCACTTCTGGGAATATATCCTGGGGATGCAAAGAAGCACAGCAGAAATGACATCTGCACTTGTATGTCCATTGCAGCATTGTTCATAATAGCCAGAATATGGAAACAACCCGAGTTCCCAGGAATAGACGACTGGTTAAAGAAACTATGGTACACCTACATAATGGAATATTATGCAGTTGTTATAAAAGATAAAGTCATAAAATTTGCTTGTAAGTAGATGGACATGGAGAGTATCACACCAAGTGAAATGAGTCAGAAAGAGAGGGGAAGACATAGAGTGACTGCACTCATTTATGGAATATAAAATAACATAGCATAAGACTAACACCCAAGGACAGTAGAGACAAGGGCCAGGAGGATTGCTCCACAGTTGGAAGCCTGTCTCATGAGCTGGGGAAGAAGACAGGTGGGATAGAAAAGGGACTACTAAGTCAATGATGGTTGGAGGAATTACTCGGGATGGGAGATGTGTGTTTAAAGTAGACAAAAGACCAAACGGTATCTGTATTTCAAACCATAATGCCCAAAAGTAGAGAGAAAGAAGGAAAGTGTCTGCCATAGAGGCAGGGGGTGGGGTGGGATGGGGGTGGTAGGATACTGAGGTCATGGTGCTGGAAAATGTACATGGGAGGAGGGATGGGTGTTTGATCATGTTATGATTGAAAGCTTTGTAACTGTATCTCACGGTGATTCAATCAAAAATTTTAAAAATTAAAGAAGGGTGCTACCACAATTAAAATGATACCAAAGTCAGTGCAAATGCTGCTCGAGTCCCTGTGCGGTTTGTGCCCACGTGGCCAAGCACATGTGGCAACTGAGCATATGTCGCATCCTCCTGAGATGTGTGCTTTTGTATCTAACGATCAGGCATGTGTAGGGGCTCTCTCTGCCCTTGGAGAAGCCTGTGTTCTCGCTAGAGCATGTTCCTCTCTTTCTCTCCCTCCTTCCCTTTCCTAAGAACCCCCAAATAAAATTGTTTGCTTCAAAAAAGAAAATGATACACAGTCAAGAGGTGCACCACAGGGGGCTAGAGAGACAGCAGAGCGGGTAGGGCATCTGCCTTGCATGCAGCTGACCCGGGTTCGATTCCCAGCATCCCATATGGTCCCCTGAGCACCGCCAGGAGTGACTCCTGAGTGCAGAGCCAGGAGTAACCCCTGTGCATCGCCAGGTGTGACCCAAAAAGCAAAAAAAAAGAGGTGCACCACAACCAGGTGTGTGTGAAGCCCCCTTTCATCACATTAGGGTTTCCTCCTGCCTCTGAGCTTAATCCTGACAGTGCTCAGGGGACCATGTGGAGTGCCAGGGATCGAACCCAGGTCATCCTACCCACTGTGCTATACTTCTTTCTGGTCCCCAGACACCCATCTCTCTTTTGAGCACATCTTAGATGATGTCATGTGAACTGACCACCCTCAAAACATATGCTTTGGGTCTATCTTTCAGAAAATGCTCATCACTCTTAGAATCGCACTGAAAAAAACAGTGCAGGGGTTGACGATATAGTACAGGAGGCAGGGCGCCTGCCTTGCACCTTGTCAACCCAGCATCCCGTATGGCCCCCATCAGGAGTGATCCCTGAGTACAGAGCCAGGAGTAAGACCTGAGCCAATTCGCCATGTTCCAAACACACACCCCAAAAAAAGAAAAGGAAGGAAGGAAGGAAGGAAGGAAGGAAGGAAGGAAGGAAGGAAAGAAGGAAGGAAGGAAGGAAGGAAGGAAGGAAGGAAGGGAGAACCATTGTATTCATATCATCTCTCTTGATATCTTGGGCTCCCTAGGGCTCAGTATGTCCCACCAGCTGGGTCAAACCAAATTCACAGGACACCAGGCTGATTAAGAATACCGATGTGTCAGGGTTGGAGCAATAGCACAGCGGGTAGGGCATTTGCCTCGCACACGACCAAACCGGGTTCGATTCCCAGCATCCCATATGGTCCCCTGAGCAGCATCAGGGGTAATTCCTGAGTGCAGAGCCAGGAGTAACCCCTGTGCACTGCTGGGTGTGACCCAAAAAAGCCAAAAAAGAAAGAAAAGAATACCAATGTGTCATGAAGCGTGGGGGCACCTGGAGAATGCAGGTGGGTAAGGGGGTATCGGTCAACTGACAAATTCAGGAACAACTTCCTGTGTGCTCACTAAATCACTCACACCACATTCCACGAGTAAGTAAGTACGTAGCAGGCTACCTATTCAAGACCCAAAAGATGGGAAAATCTTGCAGGAGCTCTGGCATTTGAGCAGGAACAGAGGAGACAGTAAAAGAGAAAGCAGGTCCTCCTTTTGCAAGGGCCTCGCACAGACACCTTCAGAACATGTTCAGTTCCCCATTCTATCATTCCCTTCTCTCTTTAAATGCCCAGATAATGCCAAATGCCAGCTCCCTCTTCCCACTGGCTCTTCTCTAAACCCTGATATCCTGGTGGTCTCCTGAGTCCTTCCCTGTCACAGTTCATATAACAAGCTAACTCCCCTGGACCAACTACTGCAGCCACATACACACAGGCTGCCTGGCTCTTCATTTCTCCCACCAAAAACACCTGGCTCTGCCCAGAACCCACCCTTTCTCCCCTCATCTGCTCTCTCCCAGCCGGTGGTCCTTTCCTAGCTTCAGTCCCACCTGTTTTCCCAGGAGTCACCTCTGGGCCCGCTCTGATTTGTGTTGACTGTAGCCATCCAGCAAAGTCATACTCTGAGCCTCAGCAGTTGACTCAAATTATTAATAACTCCTCCTCTCAAAGCTAATTAATGTTGCAACACATCTCCCTAACCACACTGTGAATTCTCACAGCTCAATATTATACCGCTCTGTAATCCATCACACCCTCTGAGGAAAAAAAAAAAAAAACGGGTTTTGCTTTTTGGATCACTCCCAATTGTGTTCAAGGCTTGCTCTTGTCTCTATTCTCAGGGCTTACTCCCAGCAGGGCTCAGAGGACATACCTGAGTTGGCCAGATGCAAGACAAGTGCCTTACCCTCTGTACTATGAGTTTGTGCTGAGAATTCTCTCACATAAACTATGAGGTAGGCATGAATATTGTCACTTACAAATGAGGACATTCCTTAGAGGCTTAAGCGAAAAACCAAGGTTACCCAGCTAGAAAGTTGTAGGATTTGAACCTAGGTGTCTGACCACCTCTCTAAAGTTTAAGTGCCGGGTCTCTCCATCTACACTGAAGAGCAGGTGCGTGATTCTCTCTCCTGGTTTGAGGAATGGAAAGAGGAGAGAAGGCTGGGGAGCAAAGAGAAGGTGATGGGGAGAGAGAGAGTGAAGGAGCCTAAGGAAAGAGAAGGGAGACCAGGAAAATCAAGGGGAGGTTGGGGAGCAGAGAGTTGTGAAATGGTGGGTAGAGACGAGGACGAGCCTCCAAGGAGCAGGGCAGGAAGGTGATGAGCAGCTGTGCAGAAGACAGTGGCCTCACGCAGGAATGGCATTGAAGAGCAGCGAGGTCGTCTTGGTGGCAGAGTAACGAATATTGGGCTCCATATGCAGCAGGGACGGGATGTCAATTTTCATGGGGAAACCAGGAAGTTTCCTATTCCCACTGCTGGGGAAGCACAAGGACAGAAGCCAGTCAGAGAATCTCCTCCCCCAGTTCTCTCCGTCTCTCCTCCCCAATCCAATCCCCAGACCTCCCCTACACCAGCTCCTCCCTGACCTCCACCCCAGCCCTGCCAGCACCCATCGCCTCCGCTCTGCCAGATCCCCGGGTGCCCCCGCCCCAGCCACTTGAGGACACTTGAATTGCACTATACACTTCATGTCCCTCCACCTTCTTCCCAGGGCTAGGTCCTCACCTGTCATCCTGGTCTGCACAGGGTGTTGTTTTGGTCAAGGCAAATTTTTTGTCTGACTCCATCTCTGCAAAACTGCTAACATCTACCATGCGGGGGAAACCAGGAGCATAGACTTTCCAGCTTCCAGGAAAAATAAGTCAGAGGTGGCAGGTCAAATGTAGGGTAAACGAAACCTTAGCTTTAAAAAATATTTTTATTGAGATATCTCATTTACATAGTTTTAATATTAACTTTAGATTTCCATTACACCACTGTCCTTCTCACACACCCCCAGCCCACACATACACACACACACACACACACACACGCACACACACACATACACCAGCTGCCTCAGTTCTGTTGGCAGTATCTCAAAAAAAGCCTTAGCTTTTAAAGACAGGGTGCAAATGAAAACTTCTAGAAATGGCCCACTTTCTGGGTAGATGACAAGGAACTGGATTTTTCTGCCTGTATACACTGAGCTTCAAATCAGAGTCTCAATTTTCCAGGCTGCTTTAGAGATGGGTTTGTATAACAGTTAAGGTGTTTCTCTTGCATGCGGCCAGCCCAGGTTTAAGCCCTGGTACTAGGCCCCACAAGGGTCATTTCTGATACTGAGGTCGCCAGGAGGAAAATTAAGTGTTGTGTGTGGACTTCTGGATTGTGTTGATTTTTGGTCTGGACTCAGATCTGGACTCAGGGGCAATATTAAATGAGTATCCTGATAGGAGTTCGCCACTCAAGGTTGGAATTGGGGCCAGAGTCTGTAACACTTTGATTGAGGCTCATGTTGGAATAAAGATGAGGAAAGAAGCCAAATTAAGCCACCCTCACCGGTAACAATCCTGTCGGGCCTGGAGTTCCCGTTTCCGATGATCCAGGAGGAGGGGAAGAGAGTCCTGACAAATAGTTCTTGCTGTTGGGAATGAAAATAACTTATCATTTGAGGGGCCAGAGAGACCGTATAGGGGTTAAGTCACTTGCCTTGCATAAAACCAACCCAAGTTTGATCCCTATCACCACACATGGTCCAGGAGTGATCCCTAAACACAGACCCAGGAGTAAGCCTTGGGCACAACCAGGTGTGGCCCCAAACCAAAATAATAATAATATTAATAATAATAATAATAATAATAATAACATCTCATCATTTAGGTCTTCTTTCAAACTATACTTCTCCCATTAAACCTTGCCCGGAACAACACCCCCCATCCCACCCTAGAACTTCCTACCGTAGCAATATAAATACCCCATGTTCTTCATGATGAATGTCAATAGAAGAGATTCAGGATAGTCTCACCCCAAAGTTCAAACAAGCTTTCTTCCTGTGTGGCTCTTTTCCAGGACTAAACAAGCCAGGGCCAGAAGTAGTATTATTCAGTTTCTGTGCCCCCAGCATCTGATGTGAACCTGGCACTGGGCATATAATGTGCACTTGATAAATGACTGAGAAGTGAAACACACCTTGAGAAGTGATGGATGTGTTGTGAGGATAAACCTGGGTAGTGGGGGGGAGGGGGCATAGGAGGTGCCTTTGAGCGCTGTGAGAATATATGAGTACATGTGACTGCTCTCTGTCTCCAGTGTGGTAAGTATTGCCCAGAAAGACACTGCATTTCAGGGCTGGCTTCTTTCCTCTTTCTCTTATCTACGTGGGACTTTCAATTCCAGTTGTCCTAATTGCATCCCTCTTCCTTACATCCTGGGCTCTGGGAAGGCCCCAACTATAATTCCAGCAAGTGCTTTCTGCTATGCAGACCAACCCCCGACTTTGGCACACCTGTTCCCGGTCGTAGCTCTACCGTGCAGAAGCCTTCGATCCACTGATAGCAGGGGAAGCAAGAATGGGTCCCATCAGGGGCAGTGACACAGATGCAACTGCAATACCAGGAGTCCTTCGGGAAGAAAGCAAATCGCTCCTTGTGCAGACGCAGCAGTAAAAGCTCCCCCAACTCCTCAGAGCAGCGCACCTTGTACTTCTGCACCTGCCCAGACCAAGACAACAACAGGTGAGCGCCAGGAACAACCACCAGGACCTCCTCGCTGCTTGTCATTCAGTCAAAACTATAAACCTAAACTGCCACTAGTTAGGGAATCCAGGAGGTGCTTTTGCATAAATTAGAAGGTGCCCTCTCCTGCGAGCAGAGGCAGCCAGGCCACGGCATGTTCTGGGTGCCACTAGCCAGCTTGGCACCCAACTCCATGCTTAGACCAGGGCAGACAAGCCTGGGACCCGGAGGAGGCAGCAGATGCACCGGAGCCGAGGAAGCCCGGCTGCAGAGAAGGCCAGCCCAAAGCCCACCTTCACTGTGGGAGGACCTAGGAAGCCGGGGGACCGAGCCTCTACCCTCCCCCACGCCTCCCCTTCTTCACGGGCCGCCAGGGTAGCGCTGATCATGCCAGGAACGACACCGATCAGAATGGATGGTGAGGGGTCCTGATGAGAACTGGGGGGCGGGGGGTCCTCGGGACAGCCCGCCCACGGAAATCGCTCCCCCGCACTCACCGATCCCGGGGCGAAGTCCCGGCCCAAGCGATCCAGCACTTGCTTGGGACTCTCGCCACACGTGCCCACCAGAGTGACAGAGATGGTGTCCAGCGTGCCGGCCTTCAAGTAGGACCCGGTGGCCACACACACGCGGTACACGGCCATGTCGCGGGGGCCGCCCGGCGGCTGCGGCGAGCTGGGGGGCGGGGGACGGCGCGGGGCCGGGGGCTCGCGCTCTCCGCTCGGTCCCCTGGAAGCTCCCAGCGCTGTCCTCGCTCGCGTCCGGCTCCCCTGCCCCGCCCCCGGCTGCTTGCTGGCCTCTGGCACAGCCGGTCCCTCCGGCTCCCGGGACGGGGCTCACCCAGATGGGTATCAGGAGTCCGGCCCCGCCGAGAAGGGCGGGCCAGGCTCGGAGACGGAGGCGCACGCGACGCGGCGACGGCCCGGGGGTGACGCCCCCGCTCCCGGGCCAGGCCGGCTGGTGCCTGCGCCCCTCGCCCACCCGCCCCTGGGCCCCGGGCGCGGTCTCCCCGCGCGCTCGAACCGAGCCCGGCACTCGGCGGCCGCGGTCCCGCTCGAGAGTCAGCGGGAGTCACTTCGCCGCGGAGCCGCGCGGGGCTGATTCCTACCGACCCCCGCCGCCCGGCTTCACGCGTGCGGGGCCCAGAAAGACACCCTGGCCGCTCCGCCCCGGGCGCCCCCGGTTCCGGGCTCCGCGGGTGCTCCCGGCCTCCGCCACGCCGCAGCTCGGCGCCCCGAGCCGCTCCCAGGGGTCTGGGGTCCGGGATCCCCAGCAGTGGGTGGGAGCCGAGCGGCCCGGGAAGCCGGGACCCCAACAAACCCTAAACCCGGGACGCCCGCAGCCCGCAGCGGCCCCGCGCGGCCAGCACGGGCACCAGCCGTCGCTCGGCCTTGGAGGGGGCCTGTGACCGAGGCGAAGGAGATTTAAACAGCAGAAACCAGGGTGAATCTGCTGCATTTGGAGGAAGTTTCCAGAGCACAGACGACGCCGTCCGCAAGTTTCGAGCCAGGGCTTGTCTAAGTGAAACCTCTTATAGGCAGTAAAGGGCTGCGACGCTCAGAGCCCGGATAGCTCAGTCGGTAGAGCATCAGACTTTTAATCTGAGGGTCCAGGGTTCAAGTCCCTGTTCGGGCGCTAGCATTTTTTGATTGTTTAAGAAGTATTTGTTTCGAAATACAAATACTGATTGTATCCGTTGCTACAAGACAAAGGAGAAGACGGTCGTAAATAACGTTGCTTGTTTTCAAAGAAATTGTTGAAAAAAAAATTGTTCATAAGTGCCTCAGGGCTTTACGGCTAAGAAGGTTGTAACAAATGGCAGTCGAGGTAGTGGTAGAGATTTTCGAGCAGTACATAAATGGCATAGACGCGAATTGAAGTTTTCTAATAGCCATGTTAAATAGTAAACAGAAAGACGGAAAAATTACTCTCAATAACATTTTTTAAACCAATATACCCGGTCTTATGGTTTTAAGAGGTAATCAATATTTTGAAGTTATTACATTTTAACTATCTTTTTTTGGTACCGTCTTTTTAGGACCAATGTGTCTCTTACACATACAGCACAACTGAACTCAAATTTCAGATGGTCGACAAAGGCATCCATTGTATAATGGACCTAGTTTTGAATTCGTCAAAAGCCGAGTAGGGAGACGCAGAATAAGAACTTTAGTAATGTATATAGTTACAGAGAACACTCACAACTGCAAGGTTCCATGGTGTAATGGTTAGCACTCTGGACTCTGAATCCAGCGATCCGAGTTCAAATCTCGGTGGAACCTTTGCGTTTTTTTCCCTCTTCTGTTTCATTCGGAAGCCTTTTGTTCTAGTACAGGAAATTCCCCAGCTTTCCAGAGAACTGTTTATGTACCACACGCAAAATACAACTATCAGAGAATTACAAAAGAAAACTACCTGGATTAAGCTGTCCTTGAGCTTTGTAGAATGAGTTATTGGACTTCTACCCCAGAAAACATACAGCAAATCATTATAACATGTAGGAAATTACACTAGTTTTGAAAGATAATATTCATACATGTTAGAAGGGAGGCAGTTGTTAAAACACTTCCATTACTTGTTTACTTGTAGGTTTGAGGTTATGATGCAGACCTGCGCAGATTCAGTGTGGGAAGACTAAGACGGCTTCCCAGAGTACTCATAAAAGGATGGGCCTCCACAATCATCAGCTGCAAAGAACGCAGAAAAACTCACACATGGCAGCGGTGGGATTCGAACCCACGCCTCCGAAGAGACTGGAGCCTAAATCCAGCGCCTTAGACCGCTCGGCCACGCTACCTGTGCGGAAGAGAAGGTACCCCGTAGTCCTCCTAAGAGACTGGAAGGAAGAAGTAGACTAGTGAATATTGTGTTCTATTATCCGGTCTCTTTTAGAAACCATCGAGATTCCGGACCATCAGGCTACATATTACATAGCAAACAGACCCCAAAAAGCAGAAACACACAGAAATCTGAAACAAAACAAGTTTATTTTGATGAATGAAGCCACATTTTAAAGTGGGGTGCGCCTGAGTTGGAAGGAACCCCGCAGAGGGTGGCCAGAATTCTGTACTCCTTCGTTCACTCACTAACACTCGGTTGCACTCTGCCCCTGGCTTTCGCATTTACCGGTGCCGGAACTCCTAGCCCTCTCAAGCTAAGAGTCCTGCAGCGCTCTCCAGCAGCGGGAGAGCCTCCAGGGAGGTCTCAGTCACGTGCTCCTGCTTGCCCCACCCAATTTCCTCCTACCCCTCCCAGCAGCTCACCCGCCCCCACCCTTTTCTCATACTAGTACCCGTAAGCCGTAAGACGCTGTCGCCCGCTAGGTGGCTCTGTGGCGCAATGGATAGCGCATTGGACTTCTAGCGATGAGAGTAATTCAAAGGTTGTGGGTTCGAATCCCACCAGAGTCGATTTTACTTCACTTTTTTCTCTTTATCCGGCTTTTCTTTAGAGCTATTCATTCCTTTCCCCGCCCCAGTACCCTAATCTGAGTTTTCGAAATTTCAGTTTTCCACTCCCAACCTTAGTCTCCACTGTGCTGTCCTTTACTTACCTGTTTTCCCCGAGGCTTGGGCCAAGGAGAGCAGGACTGAGGACCCGGAGACAGAAGAGGAGGGAAAGTGGGCGTGGACATCGAGATAAAGGCAGGCCCCGGGCTCGGGGACACACCGGGATTTAATAACCACTTTATTCCATGCACTAGGGACTCAGGAAGGAAACTGGGGCTGGGCCGGGAATTAGAGAGTGTACAATCCTAGATGCAAGGCGGGCAGGGAAAGGGACAGGAACCAGGGAAATATATATTTATATAGATACTCTAATATAGACCACATCTCACCCGCGCGCTGCGCCCGCGCGCCCCGCCACCCTCCCCAACACCTCCTCGCCCCGACTCCGGGGTCCCTCTGCTGCCCTCGGACTGGAGTCTCTACCGCTACCCCCTGCAGCCCCACCCCACCCCCAAGCTCAGGGCCAAGGTCTCCAGAAAGCGGGTGGCGGGGGCGGCGGGGCTTTGGGCGCCCCGTCTTGTCTGTGAGGTGGCGGTGGCGGCGGCAGCAGTCCGAAGAGGGGCGCCGGGACGCCGGAATCCCCGGCGCGGGGGGAACAGGGGGACGGGGACCAGGAGCAACGCGGGCTAGGGGGGCCCTGGTGCGCTGGGGGGCGCTGGTGCAGCGCGAGGCCGGGAGCCAGGGCGGCGGGGTCCAGCGGCGGGCGCGACGCTTGGGGCCTGGACTCTCCCGGTTCCGGCCGGGGCGGCTTGGGGCGGAGGTAGCCGTGCAGCGCGGACAGGAGCTGGGCGCGGGCGGCCGGGCTGGCGTCGTGCGCGAAGGCCGCCAGGCGGAGCAGGCATTCGCGGAAGCCGGACAAGTAGCAGCTGGCGAGCGCCTCGGCGTCCTGGGCTGGGGACCGGGGGAGCCCTGGAGCCGCGGTGGCAGGGCGGGGGCCCAGCAGGGGCGAGGGGGGCGGGGCGCAGAGAGACCGAGGCGGGACAGACGCACAGAGCAGAGACGGGAAGCCAGGCGGACCGACGGAGGGAGAAGATGAGGGAGACACAGAGACAGACACGCGCGGGTGTTATTAACCTGGCCTCAGAGCAGAGCCTGCCGTTCCCAAGCCCACCGTCCACCGCAGGGTGCTCCCCGTCTACCCCGGTCCCGGACGCAGCAAACCGCCCTCCCGCCCCCCGCTGCCCCGCCACGCGCTGTACCCGGGGGCTCCACCCGGCTCCGCTCCCTCAAGTAGCCCACGGCGAACTCCAGTATCTCTGCTTTCTCCAACTTCGGGTTCCGGAGGTTCTACAGGTGGGAGGGGAGGGCGCAGAGACAGAAAGGGGTGGGGAGAGAGGGGGGAAGTGGCAGGGGGAAGAAGGGAGAGGGGATGCGGGAGCTAGGGGTGCCCCCGGATCGCGTTTGCGCGCTGCCCGCAGAGTGCGCGACAGAATGAGGAATGGTGACGATCTAGCATGGCCCTCGGCCCACCCTGAGACGCAACTGTCCAACCCGAGGGGATGTAGCCACCCCCTGGAATGAGGAACGGATCTGAAACCGCAAACCTCGGCAGTGATATTAGCCACCCCTCGCGCTGTTCTGCTAGGCTGTTGAGTCAGAGCGGAAGGAGCAAGGATTTATTGACTCGAAGGTAGAAGGGGACCAACTCTGGGAGTGAAATTTACCGAGCTAGCAGTGAAACTTACAGACCCGAGTGGTGGCGGAGAAGATCGCGTTCTGGGAGCGAGGGGGGTCTAGGATGGGACTCCAAGGACGGAACTCGGGCCAGGGTCGCCAGTGTAGCACCCCACCCCAGTAGGAAGCCCTGGGACTTGAGGACGGGGTGCTCTGGGGTCCCTAGCTGGCAGAATTACTGACCTGGTCCCGGGTCCGCTCCAGCAGCAGCAGCCTCAGCTCTTCCAGGCTGCGGTTGATGCGGTCCCGGCGCCGCTTCTCTACAAGCGGCTTCAGCATCTGCGACCAGCAGGAGAGGGAGAGCGGGCAGACCGGACCAAAACTCAGCGCGGCCGCGCCGGCGTCCGGATCCCGTCGCTGGGATAGTCCCGTCTTCACCCCTTTCCCCACGACCCTAGAGCGCCTAGGACCGGGCCCATTCGATCCCTCTCCGCTCCTCCCCAACAACGCCCTGAGGGTCGATGTCTAGCTGGCCGCCTCTCTCTGGGGTTGGTTTTTGGCTTGGTTTGGTTTGGTTTGAATCCTCCCTCCTCCCACTCGGTGTCTGTTCTTCCTTCCCGTCTTTTCTCTCTACGTCTCGATCTCGCGCAGCTTCTCTCGGTCTCAGGGGAGAAGTTTGTGGACACTTCTTTGCGCCGACACGTGGGCTGCACAGTGCGGCGCTCACGGTGAGGGGGTGCAGAAAGGAAGGCTACGCAGTCGACGGCGCCACCTCTTCCTCTAACGGACCGGTGCGCTCACCCCCCGCCGACTAAAGGCTTCCCTGGACCTCGGGCGCCTGCAACCAACGCCCTCCCGACCTTCCCTAAGAACCTGCAGTGAGCCAGCTTCTACCCAGCCCGCCAGTGCCTATCCTCCCATCTCGCTTCCACCCTCCTCCCTTAGTTCTGGGTTTCTCCAGCTTTTTAAACTCAAACTCCAGCTCCCCTTCACTCCTTCCAGGCAACAAGATCCCAATTCTCATTACTCACGCCCCAGCCAGACCTCTGCTTCTGCTGCCCAAGCAGGTCCTACCAAGACAGTATTTACTTTTATGTTTACACTTTGAGTCCCCCAGACCGCTTTCCCCCTTCAAGTCCTGCGTCTCCAGCCTCTTCCCTGACCCATGGTTTCAGCGGCGCTCCCCTAATATGACCAGGGAGGAACCACTGCTCCCTCTCCTCCTGCCTCTCACCTTGGGGCCATCCCTATTCTCCGCTCGATCCCGGGTAACCATCGCTCCTCCGGACCCTGGTATGGACCGAGTCCCTGCTTATCATGCGCTTTATATCCCGCGAGTGCTGGGGGTGGGGGGGTAGGACCCGGTCCCGCCCCCCTTCACGCGGCGACCTCGAGCTGCGCTGCCCTAGGCACGAGGCTCCCACAGAGGGGAGGGGTGCAAAGGGGAGGAGGAGGCAGGAGCCCAGTATGGGAGTGTGGGAAATCTGGGGCTTTTGCAGCAGCCTTTGGTTGCAGAACCATAAGGCTGTATAATGAGGTGGGGCCCCCTGAAAGGAAGAGGTTATTAGGGTGAGAGAGGATCTGAGAGATCTGGAGACAGAATACAGGAATTAAGTTCTGAATTCTCCCGAATTCATTATATTCCCTGCCCCAACCTCCGTCATCCCCCGCACCACACACACACACACACACACACACACACACACACTAACTGTAAGATTAAAGTTAGTTCCTCTTAGACCCCAGATTGAATCGTAAATATTTTCGTGGAAAGTTCACCTCCTACTTGGGATAGAGTACGCACTGAAAAGGGGTTTTAGGTGCATTGTCTAATTTAACTGGGGCTTTGCCTAGAGGTGAAAGAGGAACTCAGTCACAAAACAATTTTATTCCATTGCTCTGACAGCGGTCTTTGTGCTTACTGGACATTGCTTTAGACTTGGTTCTTGCTGACTTAAAAGTATTTACTACAGGCCCATTTTCTCTGCTGCATCTAAGTGGGAAAGATCATGTGTTATTACCTAGCTACTGAAGACCTAGACAGAAGGGGGTACTGTAGGTAAAGGGTACCTTTCAGTACCTGTACTGCAAACCCTAATGCCCAAAAGAGAGGGAGTGGGAGAGAGAGGGAGAGACAGACAGACAGAGTGACAGAGACAGAGAAGTACCTGCAGTAAAGGCAGACTGGGGTAGAAGGAGGGAAACTGGGAATATTGGTGGTGGAAAATGTACACTGGTGAAGGGGCAGGTGTTACATTGTATGATCTGAAACACAATCATGAACAACTTTGTAACTAGGTATCTTACAGTGGTTTAATTAAAAAAAAAAACAAGAATGATACTGGGAAAAGGGTCTCCCTGAGAGAGACAGGTAGACTGGATAAAGGGGAGCCTCAAAGAAGAGGCAGCCAGACTTTGAAGCATGAGTACTAGGAGAGGTCATTACACTTAGAAGTATTGAGTCAAAATACATCTTTGAGGCTTAATGTTGCCAGCACACCTGACCCAAGTGTGCTCAACTTCATTTCCTCCAGAAGACTAGAGGGGAGCAGAAAATAGGATTTTCTTAAACAGACAAGAAAGACATACAAAAATAGAATGAATATCCCCCTCAAACCATGGGCCCCCCAGCCCCCTATAGAATGAGAGGCAAGGCACTCTGGACAAGGTGCCTGAGAAGATAAAATCAAGATTTAATGAGATAGCAAAAGTGCCAGGGGCAAGAAAGACAGGGTGGCCAACTGAGTTGGAAAAGGCTCAGTCAGAGATGAATGGAAACAGTCCCAGCCCACCCAGTGTCCTTCCAGCCCGTGGGGGGGTGTTCCTGTTGTCTGCTCACATATTCTGCCTTGCAAACCCTGAGCACAGAGTGACATGGACCTTGGGGAGGCCACCCCCATTTGGAACCAGGGCCCCAGGATCCCACTCCCACTACCTGAGCCAAATGGGAACACAGATGTGTGGCCCCAGTAGTCCCCTTTAGCCCCCCTCCTTGGGAACCTGGACTGGGGCAGAGTTTTTCTCACCTGCACTCGAGGCTTGGGACACAGGGCTATTAGCACCCGGGTGTGGGGCCGCCCCTGGCCATATGGGGCAATTTTATGGCCTGGTGTCCGGATCCTGGTGGGAGAAAGGATGACCTGGCGCTCCACCCATTGCAACTCAGCGACGCCATCCTTCGCTGAGCCTTACGCTGACCATCACACCCCAGATTCACAGGTGGACAGGTTCATTGACAGGTTCTGTTGTGTGCACTGGTGGTTCAACGGAAAAGTCCTTGCCTGCCTGGGAGGCTGGGTTTGATTCCCTGTCACTGTACTCTTGAGCTTCCCTTTTAAAGGGAGTCAGGTATCTCTAAAAAGTTCATTCCTTTTTTGAAGTCAGGTCAGATGGCTTATTATAGTGACCATTTATGCTTTAGGCATACAGTATTATTACACCATACCAACCACCAAAAGCCCAATATTGGGGCTGGGAGGAGGGGAGGGCTGGAAAAAAAAAAGCCCAATATTCCGTTGGTAGTACTGACTCTGGGTCTTTAAGATTTCTAGCAAATACTAGTATTCAACGTTTCTGTTGTGCTGAATTCAAGGCTGGTTCCATTCCTCCCCACAATCTCATCCTCAGTCTGAGAGTACTGCGGCCACCTCTAACTACCTCCACCCGCCTCCCCCACCTCCTCCAGCTCCCCTAGGCTAGACCCTGAGAAAGAACCGAGGTTCGTTATCCCTGCCCCAGGGGGCCTCTCAGGCCTCCTGTAGGGGCGGAGAGAGTTCTCTCTCTCCTTTTTCCTTTCCATCTCCCTCCCTCCCTCCCTCCCTCCTCCCTCCTCTCTCTCTCTCTCTCTCTCTCTCTCTCTCTCTCTCTCTCTCTCCTCTCCCCTACCCCCACCAAGGCTTCTGTTCCCATTTGGCTCAGGTAGTAGGAGTGGAATCCTAGGGCCCTGGTTCCAAATGGGGGTGGCCTCCCCAAGGTCCATGTCACTCTGTGCTCAGGGTTTGCAAGGCAGAATATGTGAGCAGACAACAGGAACACCCCCCCACAGGCTGGAAGGACACTGGGTGGGCTGGGACTGTTTCCATTCATCTCTGACTGAGCCTTTTCCAACTCAGTTGGCCACCCTGTCTTTCTTGCCCCTGGCACTTTTGCTATCTCATTAAATCTTGATTTTATCTTCTCAGGCACCTTGTCCAGAGTGCTTTGCCTCTCATTCTATAGGGGGCTGGGGGGCCCATGGTTTGAGGGGGATATTCATTCTATTTTTGTATGTCTTTCTTGTCTGTTTAAGAAAATCCTATTTTCTGCTCCCCTCTAGTCTTCTGGAGGAAATGAAGTTGAGCACACTTGGGTCAGGTGTGCTGGCAACATTAAGCCTCAAAGATGTATTTTGACTCAATACTTCTAAGTGTAATGACCTCTCCTAGTACTCATGCTTCAAAGTCTGGCTGCCTCTTCTTTGAGGCTCCCCTTTATCCAGTCTACCTGTCTCTCTCAGGGAGACCCTTTTCCCAGTATCATTCTTTTTTTTTTTTTTAATTAAACCACTGTAAGCACTGTAAGATACCTAGTTACGAAGTTGTTCATGATTATGTTTCAGATCATAACAATGTAACAACACCTGACCCTTCACCAGAGTACATTTTCCACCACCAATATTCCCAGTTTCCCTCCTTCTACCCCAATCTGCCTTTACGGCATGTACTTTCTGTCTCTGTCTCTCTGTCTCAGTCTGTCTCTGTCTCTGTCTCTGTCTCTGTCTCTCTCCCTTCTTTCTCTCCCCTTTCCCCGCCTCCCAGGCTTTTTTCCATTTTTTCATCTCTAGCTCTCTTGTTTTCTGTTCTCCCCCAAGAGGGAATCTTCTGCTGAATCCACGAATCTCTACTTCTTTATCTGCTCTCTAGGTTTCTTAGCAGTAACTGCCAGGATCTTCTCTGCTCTCTCCCACCTCTGTCCTGCTCTGCGTCTGCGTCTCGGTCTTTGGACAACGTGATCGCCTTTCCGGGTTGGTGTCTGTGGCCTCTGCGCTCCCACGCTCCTGCCATCCCCCGGGAAGGTCGCTCACACCTCCAGGTTCCTGCCACCTTCCACCCGCCCTTCCCGGCCGCTTTGATGCCGCACGCGTCGGGCTGCAGGCGGGCGCGCCACCAGCTGCCACGGTCACTTGCAGGCCCGGGCGGGGGCGGAGCCGCCGGGGGCCCGGCGCTGGGTTCCCGGGGCCGCCGGGCATTCGGCCTCCCTCTTCCTGGCAAAGCCGCGGGATTGCAGTGGGGTTCGCTGAATCTATGTCTCCTTCGGTCTCTGGGGCTCACCAAGCATCTCTGGGTTTTGTGCCCTTTCTAGGAAGGAGATAAAATTGCTTCAGAGGCTGGGGACATGCGCTTCCCCAACGCTAAACCATGACCGTGGCCCAGCTGGAAGCGTCTGACAGGACACCGCTGTAGCGTCCACTCAGTCAGCCTTTATGGAGGG